ATTATCGATAGTAATGCAACCGGCAAATGGCAATGATAAAAGTAGAAAGAATAACACAGCTTGTGTATTTTTATTTTCAAATACTTTTTGCGTGGAAATTTAATTTTTATTAAAGTCTCGTGCATACTCACAATTCAATTTCGATTACATAATCTTGGCGACAGTAAATCGATTCGCAGCGGCCATCGCGATTAATCGGTTTGTAGGATTGATTCTTGGGTATTGGCTGTCGGAGTTCCTCGTAGTAGCACTGACCTGGATAGTCTGAAATATAAAGGCGGTTAAAAATGTAATTTTACAAATTTTTGTCAGAATTTATTATTAAATGAAGTGGAGAGGTTATTCGTTAATTGAAGCTTGATTCGGATGCTAAAGGCATGTATGATCTTGAAACGCATTGAGAGTAAAAGTGCACTGAACTGGGCGAGCAGATTGTAAGAAGATTTGTTTTGTATTTTGAGGGCAAATGGTCAGTTAACACAGTTGCCCATATACCGTTTTGAATATAAGAACAGGCAGACATAACTGAGAGCCTATAAGTCATCAGCTGCCTCTAAAATGGTTCGCTAAGCATGTAGTGCGCTTTATCTCATCAAAACGTTATCAGATGAAGATTTTTCAAAGCAATTATTGGTGATATGTTAATTTTTTTTCAGACCATTTGTACTATCTATAAACTTAGCTATGAGGCGATACAACGCGTAAAGTGTTCCAAACGTTGATGCCGATTTTTTAAGACACCTAAACGGATACTTTAACAAGGAAAACTGCATTGCAATGAGTCCCTATTTTGTTTGGTTTCTGAGCTGGCAGAGTCTTCTTCGAAAATGATGCCGGTCACGCTGCTACAATGATCGGACGTTGTCGTGAAGTTTTTATGTCATGGACACTGCACTGCTAACCACTACACCACAGCGACCGGACGAGAGTTAGTGAAAGTATTAATTGCCTTGGATGTCGTTGTTTGCCCGCGTTTGTTGTTGTACGCGGTCCTGGATCCCGCCCTTTAGATTTCACATACTCAACTCACTAGACTTGAAATTTGCATAAGCCCGTATGGTTAGGATAAACATTTTGCTAAATTAGACTTGGACACAGTGCCTCCGAAAGTATTCTATTTTCCCTTTACTTGTCTTACACACCTGGATGCACTGCATTGCCACGATAACGTAAATCTGCCGAAACTTTGTGACCACTCAGGATACATAGCAGCAATAAAATTGGTAAAATTGCTTGCATTTTTTTTAACGGCAATAAATGAATAATTTCGATTAATATTTAATTATAAAAATTTTGGT